CACAGTTACTGACAATAATATAAAAACTAAATGTATGAGTGAAAGAACTTTATATATTATATATTTGAGTATATTTATGTACATTATACACATATTTGACTGTTATAAGATATTTTCAAGTGTGTCATTTTATTTTAATGATTAATTCACCGATTTGAAATAAAATACTTATATGTATGAAAAAATTCTTATTACGAGGAGTTGCAAAAAAGTGCATCAAAATATTTTAAGTTTAATTTTTTTAGTACTTATACTAACTTATTGATATTTGTTTACAAATTGCAAAATATCTAATTTAATGTTAGACATTAATTTCATTGGTATAACACTTTCATCCCATATTAAATAATTTTTTTTTTTAGTCAAAAAAGTTTAAAATAGTACAACGCTAATACAAACAAATCTTAATTTTAGTTATTTCAATAAAATTATTGTATAGCAAAAGTTAATGATTTAAACTAAGTACGCTAACATTTCTATACAAAATTGTGTGGTTAGTTAAAATAAAAATTAACCAAGCTGTTGAAAAGGCTCTTAATCAAAGTGCCTCCTTTGTTTATAATAAAACTATACAAATTAAGTAGTTATAAATTCAAAAGGTTTGTAATTTATACTATAATTAATAGATAGTTCTTACAAGAATAAAAGTAAACAAGAAATAATCTATTCTTGTGCACTAATTCCTCATAATATTAAGGCTCATTATATATTTGATCAATTCTTTCAATTATATTTTCCTCTACTAAAATGATTTTGGTATACGTTTTCGTATCAACGTAATAAATCGTTATAAATCGTCATTAATATCGTAATCACACCGTCATTTAGGATGAAAATGTTCTAAATTCAAGCATATTAAACAGATTTTTAAAGGAAAGTTCTAATAATTTTTGATAAAATATTTTTTTTTAAAAACTAAGAATAGCAACTTTAAAAGAATATTTCTTATATGTATATAGAATCCGTATATTATTCTAAAATATTCTCGCTTAATAGGATGCAAACAATCTAAAATCAACTTATCAATTTTTCCATATATATTTATAAATTTACTTCAAACTACTTATAATTTATTGTTATTATTTTAATTTTAATTTGTGGGAAATTGTATTTAAATTAATATAAAAAAATAAAAAAGTACATACATATATACTTTCGAATATCGTATGCATAAGTATGTATCAGTACTTGGATAATAGCCATAGCCAAGTATTATAACATAAAACACAATACAATATGGTGTTATCATTTTTGTGAAAAATAAATGAGCTCACTTCGAAAACATTGAATATACTTACTTATATTATTTCTATTTTAAATTTAAATTATGGCTTTATTAGTATAGAAGAAATTCAATTACAAAAAAATTTTTTCACATATACTTACTTGAATATAATAATATTAATAATCTTATTATTGTTATTGTTATTATTATTTTAGTTGTAAAAAGGAAATTAAAATGGGAAAAAATATTTATAAACTGAGATCAGAGACATCTTTATAATCTTAATATAATTCAAATATTTTAGGAGCATAAGTATATTGTCATTTTCTATACAAATTACAGTCAATCGAATAAATAACACCATATTAAGTATGCATATGTAAATATGAACTTTAAGTGAGAGTAGTTTATTCTATTATTTTATTATTTTTGATTTTTCTATCATAATAAGATTTTGAAATGATTTTAAAAGAAAGATGGATGAATAGTGTTAGTGACAAATTGTGTTGGTGATAAATTCTTGAAGATACTTTAAAACTTTATTGAAAATAATATTGTGTAGTAATAACTTCTCACATTTAATAAATACGTAATTATGTGGATAATTACTAGCTACAGATAATTTAAATAGTAACTGAAGGAAATAGAAGAAAATTACTTAATAATAATGAAAACGAATTTACTAATTATAAGTAACGTTATTTCTATATAATAAATAAAATTATAAATAAAATTAATGCGAAAATATGCTCTTGTAAATAGAATATGCGGAGTAAAAACTAGGGATTATAATTGATTTTTTCATGTAAGAATTTGATTAGGGATCGTAATAAATTAGGGATCGTAATTGAAAAATTTAATTTATTCATTTTTGTTTTTATTAGTATAATAAAACTTTTTGAATTGTGTGGCAGCTATCCAAATCCGTTTTGCGAATTGGTTCAATTACAATATTGTTCGTCTTTGACAGAAAAGAAATAATTTGTGAAAGTTTGGCGAATTTTGCATTATTCTTTTTTGAGTAATCGTGCAATCGGGTATAGACGGACGGAAGGAAATGTCTAAATTAACGCAGAATTTTACACTGAAAAATATTATATGTCTATACCACAGACGACTAGTATGGTTACAAAATCTGTACCAAGTTAAAAATACCCTTCACGTATAAAAAATTACAAAATGTATATAGAGGTGCAAAAATTAACTCAATTTAGATTACGTGCACATTAAAATTAATTTGGCTTTATAAAATTCAACATATTTAAATGCATGCAAACATGTAGATACTTAATATATGTACATGTAATATAATAAACTGTTAAATATAAAAATAATGTTTTTCAAAGAAAAATTTCTCAATTTCTCAATTCGATTTAAATTGCGTCTCCAGAATAAATATTAAGCTTATTGCGTGGACCTTCATCTATGCATATACTTAATTATTTCTTCTTTCAAGTAAAATTACAGTTGTTAAATTTATTTTATAATTTTTACGCAAATTTATCTTTTAACTGAGAAGATTGCGAAAATTTTGTAATATCGAGTAAAATTTTTTTATGTTATCGTAAAAAATCTATGATAATTCGGATTACGTCCGAAAAGTGGCCTAAATATCAATTTTTATACCCGTACGAACGTATGTTCGAAGGGTATACTAAATTTGCCTTACCGTTTGTAACGCTAAGAAATAACGGTGTTAGATATAGACTCAAGTGTATGTTTTTGATTAGCGTCAAATTCTGAGTTGATTTAGCTTTGTCTGTCCGTCCGTCCGTCCGTCCGTCCGAACGATAACTCAAAAACTAATTGAGCTAAGTTCACCAAATTTTCACAAATGATTTATTGTAGTAAGTGCCAGAACCCTATTTAAATTGGACATGATCGGGGTACCGGTTCGGGTAGCTGCCATACAACTTCAAAATTTATTTGGCTATATCTCAGAAACTATAAAAGTTATGGTATTGAAATTTCACACAAACGAATATATTAGTAGGGCCAATATGCCATATAAAAGTCGTTGAAATTACTTGACTCCTTCTGGTACCTGCCATACAACTTCAAAAATTATTTGGCTATATTTCAGAAACTATTAAAGCTATGGTATTGAAATTTCATACAAACGAATATATTAATAGGGCCAATGTGTCACATAAAAGTAGTTGAAATTACTTGGCTCCTTCTGGTACCTGCCATACAACTTCAAAAGTTATTTGACTATATCTCAAAAACTATAAAAGCTGTGATATTGAGATTTCAACAAGTGAATATATTAGTAGGGCCGACGTGCTTGATAAAATTCGCTAAAATTTCTTGGCTCTTTCTGGTAGCTGCCATACAACATCAATAGTAGTTTGGCACAACCAGTATTTTGAATAACACATAGTACTGAAATTTTGCATAAATTAATATGGTAATACGGCAACTTAAAGTCATAGTCTGCCCCATAGTTAGTTATGGCACATTAGTTATTCGCACATAGGATAAAAATTCGTACGGGTATCACAGAGTTGACAAGGTCAACTCTATTTTTTTTCTCGTTTTTCTTAAAATCTTATATTACAGATTTAAATATATACATGAAAACGAATTACATTTGTATATATTTCTGCCAAATATGAACACTTAATATATACAAGAAATTGAGTCCGAAAATGTCTTTATCTTGAAAAATCATTTTTGGAATTTGATTCACTTTACTTCTGAGCGCCTCAAATGCCTATATACACATACATATTAACCAAAAATTTAATGTTAAATTAAATTTTCTTTAAAATATTCAATATAAATATATGATTCAGTTTTACCTAATTATATTGTTAGAATGTTCTGATAAAAAGCTTAAAAGACCGTGGAAAATATAAAAGCCAAATGCATTTGGACATATTTACATACACATATATATACAAATTTTTCTTTTCTCTTCTATAATTTTCATTTTAAGAACATCATGCAATCAAAACCCCATATAATTTTAATGTATAAAGAATTATTTATTTTATATAAAAAAAAAAATTATTCCGAATCCTTTAAGTGTAACATATAGAAGACAGAAAAGACTGAAAAAATAAAAATAAGAGAGCAAATTGAGAAGAAAAATTGAATCCTTTTTATTCGAGGAAAAATGTGAATGGTTTTTTTTTTCTGGCAAAAATCCAATTAAATAATTAAATGTATTTTTTTTTTGTCATCGCTAAAAAAAAACTAAATTTAATTTTCGTCCTTTTATTCAACTTTTTCTGTAAAATGTGCAAAAAAAAAATGAATAAAAGTGTAATAATGCTCCATCATGAATATAAATAAGAAAATTCCTTGCCATTTTAAATTTTCCTTCTGAATTTTTTGAATTTCACTTATAAATATTTTTAGCAAGTTTCTTTTATTTTTTTCATGTTTGTTCTGCTTATTTTCACAACAATACTTATAGACCTATTACAAAAAGGAATTTATTCAATTAAAATTCAATTCCTTACTCACTTTGTGCTTCCGTTTTTTTTTATTTTACATTTTACAAATAATTAAAATTAAAAAACAAAGTGAATTTATTTTACAATTTTCCAGTTCACTATCTATTCTAAAATATTTTAATTTTACATTTTTTTTCAATAATTACAATTACAATAATATATTTTTTAATATACTTATTGTATTTTAAATAAAAATTTAAATATCTACATACTCTTAAATAAGTTTATTATTATATTGCTTAAATATTTAAAAAAAATTAAAATGACATCATTGATTAATTTTATTTAATTATATTTTTATCTATTTATAGTACGGACAAAGAGTCCCAACAGCAGCATCACCTAGTAACACTAACTCAAGCAGCTCCTCAAATACCGGCTCTCAGAGTGGAACATTAAGTACTAGTCTTAGTAATACCAATACAAATACAACAATGGGTCCTAATGGTACACAACAACAAGGAGAGCAATTATCTAAAACGAATTTGTATATTAGGGGCTTACAACAAGGCACAACTGATAAGGATTTAGTTAATATGTGTGCGCAGTAAGTATATACACATATTTTAAAAATAAGATAAAAGTTTTATTATAAGTAAGTACAATGAAATTTTTAAAATCTAATGAAGTTTCCATCGAATTAGATTAAAAACTAACTTTATTTTAACGCAAATTTTCTGTAAAATTTACAAAATTTTTTAAGTTACCATCGAAAATATTACAATTTTTATATTGAGCTATTATAATTCTTTCTTGCAAAAGTGATTATTTTTATTTTAATACTTAAATTTCTAATGTGAAATTTGTAAAATACATTTGCAATATAAATTTAAAAATATTTTTCAAATATTTTGCAAGGCAAATATTACGGTGCCCATTAGATAAGTCGAAATTTTTTTTTTGCATATTGCATTGCCGCCGGAAATTTTAAATTTATTTAATTATGCAAAAATAACTTGCGAAACTTGATAAACTAAAAAAAACCTCCCGTATTATATGTAATGTGGTCGGCAAAAAATTAAATTTTCACGGAACCACGTACAATGTCAATTTTTTGTAAAAAAAAATTTGCTTTTAACGGAACTCTGTCGTCAAATAGTTATATGAAATTTTAACTGAATAACTAAATTGAGCAACTTGAAAGGTTCTGTTTTTATAAATTTACTCGTATAGTAGTATAATACTCTCTTTCTAAGTATGCCTCTTCGTACACAACAAATTTTGTTAATTAGAGAAGTATTTTACATATTAATACAATAAAACCAATTAGGCTTAATTGCTTAATAAACGGCATTTCGATTTTTCATCGAAAACAAAATTTTCAAATTCAAGATAACAAATTAAAATTATAATTGCAAAATTTTTGTTGCATAATTTTATGTTATTTTCTTGTTTTTAATTTAACACCTCTATTCACATTTTATTTTTCAGATATGGAACCATTATATCAACGAAGGCTATCTTAGATAAAACAACAAACAAATGTAAAGGTATTTTTTTCTTCACTTTGTTATTACTTTTTAGTTCTTTATGTTTAGTTTTTGTAAATTTTTTTTTTCAGTAAAAAAAAAAAACTACCAAAAAAAAACTTAAAAAAAAACCGATTTGAAACAACATATAAAGACTAATTTGGGGCCGTACCTTATAGAAGTAGATTTTTTGAAAATTTCATAATTTAAACTTTAAAAAAAAACCATTTCACCTTTTTTTTAAATTCAATTTAAGAAAATTAAGAAAAATTCATTAAATAGCCAAAAATGTTCTCTGATCGAAAATTGGTAAAATCGGGTCTTGGGAAAAATCAGCTTTATTTTTAAAACTTCTAAACTAAACTCAGGTTTCTGTAATACATCCAATAGTTTTCTTCAATATAGTATTTTCGGCTATAACACAGGGCTATAACAAGTCATCTTAAAATCCAATTCGAACAACACTAAAATTATATTAGACATATTTTCTTCCTTCATCGTTTATAACGTATTTTACCATATGTATATAACTATTTCTAAATATGCTAAAAATTAAATAAGGGATTAATTAGGAAATTAATTATTTTATGTTATTTAAACTAAAGAGATATTGCTATTGCAATCGTGTTTAGCTACATATGTCCAGACGAAATATTCGATGGACCGATTATCAAATTCATTTTCATATACTCTCCATAACTGGAAATCCTCTTCAAAATGTCGTATTGGATCTCCTAGTACTTCCCTTAATAATTAACCAGAAAGATAAAACACAAAAGTTGTATTCTATACCACAAAAAGCCCCATTACTATATAATATCTATAAATTGGTGTAATATTATATAATTGATGTTATTCGAATCAATATTAATTCAAACAAATATATTTGTCATTATTAATTTTTTTTTAGCTTATTCGCGGGAACTTCTCAAAAATATAAGTTATATGTGGATTATATAACAATTATAGTCCACGGAGTATAACAAAATGTTATATAACAGTAATGAATTTGTAATTAATTTCTCTAGTTGTGGCAGATTATATCTGGTCACAATATTAATTTTGGACGGCTTAACCATATTGATTAAGCAATATTATTTTATATAAGATTTTTGTTATACAATAATCTGTTATCTGTAAAGTTATCATTACAGTTCTATTACAGGCATAACCTTAAAACTCGGATTCTTTTAAAATTTTTATGTATTTCATGTACTGTTATGCATTATATGCATAAAAAAATTTGTATGTATACCTAATTTTACATATTATTATAAACATAATTATGTAATTTGTTTTTTTTTGTTTTTTATTTGAAGAAAAGTTTTCCACCACTGCATTTTATAAGTAATACGGCCCTACTTTCATCTTTTCTTTTTTTTTTTTCTTTATTATTGTAAATTTTTATTAATTTAAATGTGTAAAATATTTTATTTCGAGATTTTGTTTTATTCTATTTAATTTCGTATAATTATTTGAGTTCGTAAAAAAAAAAAATAAGGTTGAAATCGAATTGGGCTCAAATTTGTTTTAGTAATTTTTTTTATATTAATTTTTATAACTTTTATTTGATTATATTTAATTTTTGCACCATATACAATTTAATATTATAGATTAAAGTAAACTGTAGTTAAATGATTTTTTAAAGTAATGTAGTTATAAAAAAAAAATTTGAATTTTTTGAATCATTAATGAAAAATATAATTGATTTTTTTTTTGAAAATAAAAACATTAGCATTAAAAAATTATATTAGAAAAACAGAAACTTAAAAAAAAAACAACAAACAACAACACTTATTAAAGAAAATTTACAAATAACTAATAAATTTTTTTCAAATTATTTTTTTTAATTAAAATTTTTAATTTGATTTAAAAAAAAAAAAAAACCAAAAATATTTTTTTTTTGTAATGTTTTTTCTTTTAAATTGAATTTTTGCTTTATTCTTAATATTTTTGTGTTTGTATTTATTTTTCTTTTGATTCCCACTTTTTTTTTCTCTTTTTTCTCCCTATTTTTTTTTTGTTTTTTTTTCTCTTTATCTAATTTCAGGTTATGGATTTGTGGACTTTGAGTCACCAGCTTGTGCTGAAGGTGCAGTTAAGGGTCTTCAAGCGAGAGGTGTTCAAGCTCAGATGGCCAAAGTGGGTATCTGGGTGCTACATAGGCCGGCCATTGTACGTTTGTTTTGCATGCTTATAAGTAATACTCACCCCTATTATTTTACATAATATTTGTATACTTATAAAAATTAATTATATAGTATTAATTAAATTCTTTATTGAATTTTTATTTTTTTTTTTAATATATCTATCTCTTTTTGTCTTAATTTGTTTTTTGTTTAATTTTTATTTTCTTTATTATTTCTGAGGTTTTTGTTTTATTTCAAATATTATTAAAACAAAAAAAAAAGAAGTTTTTTTTTTAAGCTATTGCTCTAAAAAATATCAGTAATAATAAATTCTTTTTAAAAAAAAAAAACAAAAAACAAAATTTAACAACATAAAGCGGATAAAAAGTAAACTAATAGCTATTTTAACTAAATTAAAATTTTAATTATTGTGAGAAAGCATTTAAAAAGAATGTGTTAAAAAATCTGAAAGGAAACTTATAATTATCGTGTCTTCTATCTCTCTCCTGCTCTCTATCTTCATATCTATAAGTATTTATTATTTCTCCTTTTAATTAAATATGCACACATTTAACAAAATTGTTTTTTACATTTATGTTTTGTAAATGATGTGTACATGCCATGATATTAAAGAATTACTGAATAAATATGATATTTAATTGTATGTATTAAATATAATATACTAATGCTATATAAATATTAAAATACTAATATACTAAAAGATAACTAACAATTAAATTAAAACATAATAAAACAGAAGAGAACTATATTTATTAATAGTAGCAACATTTTGTTAAGAAAATCAACAATTGATTCAATCCTATTAATTATTATTGCCATAATATAAATCGAATCGACTCCAATATTAAGATAGTATAGGGATATTATTTTAGACACCCGTTCTATATGATTAAAAATTGTTTTGATGGATCATAATGTCTTAATTTTAAATTAGACGTTAAAAGAGAGTTTTAAGAGATAATTAACATTTAACAATAATTAACTTAAATTCTAATTTCCATAAGGATACTTATATAAAATACTAGTAATATGCCTTATCAAATGCTAGTCCCTAAATGACTACATATATATAGTTTACCCCAAAAGCACAAATAAAACGAAAATATTAAGAGAATAAAATATTGAATTTTAAGTACTGGTTTGGGCTAACTTACGCTTTAACCGGAAAATTCTTCTAACAAGTTATAATTAAATTCGCAAACACAATTGAGTGGCAAGCATAGTCGCTGTCCCAAATTGCGCACTATTTTTTTTATTTCCATTAAATTATATTTTTCGAAAATTAAATATTTTTAATAATTGTATTACACATAAGTAATAAACTCTGCTAAACTTATATTCGAAATTATACCCGATTTCCTTATATTATGTAATGTAATAATTAAATTTAAATGTATTGGTAAACGCTGCTAGAATATTTGTATATCGATGTGAGAAAGGACTCATATAAGTTATTCAACATGAGTGAATAATTAAAATTTATTGCAAGTACTTTAAATTATTATTTGTATACATATAAATATATACATACATGTGAGGCGACAGTCAAATATTTAACATAAAAGTTTATTATTGTCAAATTTAAATTTAAATTAAGCTATTAAAATTGAAACAGTTGTTGTTATTTTAAAAAATATCATTTAATTTTATTTTAATTTTTAATAAAAAAAAATTTCAAATAACATTACCAACTTAAATTTCGCAAAATTCTTATTTTATCGAATTTCTTGAATTTCTTTTTTAACAATGGTGGTATTAATATCAACTTATATTTAAACTTTAATATGTCAAAATTATACAATTATAATTTTTTTTTTCTTTGAAATTTAAGAATAAAAAATAAAATTTTTTTATGAATTTTGATTTTAATATTGAATTTTTTTTATTGTGTATGTATATTTTATGTATATGCATACATAAATATTTGCAAAATATTTCTAAAATTATGCTAATAATCTATTTTTAACTTTGTTAAGATTGCTGATCCAACGCACTATATAGTATTCTCTATAAATATTTTATTTATATTAATATTAAAATAGTTTACAAATCAGACAGTACGAGTATAAAGTTTCTTTTTTACTTAAATAAATTTTTTTAAATTTTTGTCAAATTTTCAAGATTTCTAATTTGGCAAATATTTTGTGCTTTGTAAGGAAAGTTTTATACTAACTGTACTAGCCTTCGTTTTTAATACATTTATTGAATAAGAAACATTGCAATTTAATTCAAACAGTTCTATTAAAGAAATTATACATGCATACATATATTATAGGTTATGATTTGTTCAAAAAAAGGAATTATTAATATTAAAATTTAAATAATTTAAGGTTAATTTCAAGGAAAACGAAAAATTTTAAAATACTATTCACATTTTTGTTATGATCTTAAAAGTCTGCAAAAGGAGTTCCCAATTTTTAATTTTAGTTTAGTTTAAATCATAAATTTTAAATTTCTTTTTTTTTTTTGCAAATTGATAAAAAAATTGAATAATATTTCATCCAACTCTAAAAAATTGTGAGAAAAGAAGCAATTTTTAATTCTATTCAATTCCATTGAGGTCTAGAAAACTGTAACTATAAATTAATAAACTATATTATATATGCAGCGCCACTCGTGGTTGCCGGATATACATATTAGGATATAAACGATTGTATAAATAAACAATTGTAGATATAAACGATATTAAAATACGTTTTTCATTTAACTCTATGTGCCCGTATCAGAAAATTTTCTGAAATTGAATAAATATTTAAAATCCATTTCTTTATTTAATTCTAATCGACTTTGTTTTATATTTTTAACGGACTAGTCTCTTCAATAAATTAAAATTTTTTGTATAATACGTGAATTATCCAAAATACAGCATAATACATGTATATTGCATATTATACCAATATTGTATTTTAATAAAGAAACTTAAAACTATATTGACATTAAAATATTGAAGAATAATCAAAATTTTTCTCAAAATAAATAAATTTAATATTTAATTGGAAAATGATTAAGTCTCTTATATCTGATTAATATTTACGTAAAATTACAATATATTTGAACAAAATGAAAAGTATAAGATTTCATTAAATACTCGTATTTAATGAAAAAAACCCAAAAGTTTTTATCAGTGTTGTCAATTCTATAATAATATCAACAATATTATTTATTTATACAAAATTTTTTTATAAAATATTTATTTATCAAATTATTTACTTAAATTATCAAATTTCTTTTATACTTTCATTTGAATTTTGTTTTTTTTTTTTTTTCATTATTTTATTATAATATTATTTATACACATAATAATATAGGTGGTTGTGGTATTTACACTGGGGAAAATAATATTAAATAATTTCTTTATTTAAAAAAAAAAAATCAAAATCTAAATTGTATAGAGGAATATAAAAATTTAAGAACTTTATAATAATTTGGAAAATTTATAGACTGTATAGGATATTTATTTTTTTTTGTCATTTGTCTTACAATATTCAAAAAATATACTTAATAATAGGTATTTACTTATTGGAAACATTTACTTATTGGAATATTATTACTCCTCTCAAAATGAAAAATCTTTAAGAAAAATATTTTAAACGTTAAAATTTTTCTTTTCATTTGCATTTTATACTTGAAAAACATTGTAATTTTCAATATGAAACAAAAATTATTAAAATAACAATACAAGTATTAAACACAAAAGAAAAAACGAACAAAAAAAATTTTATTTAAAAAAATTTTTTTTTTTTTTTTGCATAACAAAAGTTTTTCCAATAAAATTAATTTCCATTATTATTAAACTAAAAATAAAAAATAAAAAAAATCTATCAGGATGCTCTCAGGTAAAACCTTTAAAAAGTTTGATATTATATAATATATAGAAAAAAAAAAATTTAAAATACAAAAAAAAAAATTAAAAATTTTTTTTTTTTTAGCTTCCTTATAATTTTTTTGTTACATTATTGAGAAAATATACTTTATTCGTTGAGAAGATTTTTTTTTTATGTACATTTATTTTTTATATCTTTTATTTATTTATAAATATTTTTTTTGTTTGGTAATATCCTTTTTAGAGTATATTTACCCCACCACTCCAACACAAGCCCGAACCCTCGCCCCACTCTTTTTTACTTATATGTATTGTATTATTAATGTAAGCATCTATTATTCAAAACGTAATAATAGTGAGTAATAAAATTTCAACAGTAGAGTAAAAAAAAAAAACTAACCAAAAAAGAAAAAAAAAACAAGTAGGTAAATAAATAAAAAATGTTAACAGTAAGAACAATAAAAGTATGAAATATAATAATAATAATAGTTAATAAATAAAAAAAAAATAGATTCTTGTATAATGTTTATATATAATTTATATTATACATATTATAGTTATTTAACATAAAAAAAATATATGAATAGAATCTCACATTTTCATATAATATAGAAATTATTTTATTTATTATATACGGTATTATTATAGACATTAATATTTAAATATTTATTATCGTAAATATGTACATAAATATATAATAATTAATATATTTAAGTATAACAGTTTTTTATTTTTATTTTTAATCTTATACTTTAATATAGAAATATTATTATTTAATTTTAATTTTAATATTTCATTTATGGTACATTTTTTCTTTTTCAATAAACTCTCTTTAGTACCCCCCATTTTTCCTCTTTCAATATATAATATACATAAATACTTTCAAAATAATAAACAAAATTTGTTGCGACCTCTAGCGAAAGTTTTCATAATTTCATTTTTTTTTTTGTTATACACTATAGTTTACAAAAAAAAATTTAAATTCTATATTTTAATAATAAATATAGTATTTTTTTTTCTAATGTCTAACATAATTGTTATACTCATTAATTTTATTATTTTTTTTATAATATTAAAAAAAAAATATTATAAATTTTTGTCCAGGTATATTAAATTTTTATTTAATTTTTTTTTTTTATAGTGTATATATTAAAAATATTTGAATATTAAAATAATATTTTTTTTTTGTTTTTAAATTTTAA